CGGCCTGCCCTGGGGGATCGAAGCCATCATCAATCTCCGCTTCAACCCCAAAGGTGGGCCGCACCGACCGCCCCACCCCCTTCTTGCCTGGGACGGGAGCCTTCTAAGGAGATCTTGGAGAGGGAGAGGGTGGGGGGGAGGTGTTGGGTGCTGCGACGGGTGCCACAGGGGAGCAGATGGGTTGGGGAGGGCTGGGATTATGAAGGGGAGCAGGGCACTGGGGAAGGATCTGGGGGTGTGAGGGAGAATGGGGGAGGCCAGGGGGCTGAAGCCTGGTGGCCCGTCGTGCCTGTCCCCCAGGCCTTGCACCATGATGGGTATTGCCACCGGCTTGGCTCCCGTACAGCCCTGAGGGCGTGAGCCCGGCGGCACTGAGCCGTGATGCCGGAGTGACAGGCTCTCCCTCTCTCCTGGGGCCCCCCTGCCCCGCTAGAGAACAAGTATGGGCTGTGGACCGCGGACGGGAACCTGCTGGCCGCCGACGGCTCGCTGCAGCCCGAGGGGTCCCCTCATACCCTCTTCCGCCTGGAGGTGCGGGGTGGCCTGCTGGCCTTGCGCGACGCCGACGGCAAGTACCTGACCGGGCGCGAGGCCGTCGTCAAGACCTTCAAGACGGACAAGCCCGGGCGCGACGAGCTTTTTGTGCTGGAGCCCAGCCTGGCGCAGGTGGCGCTGCGCACCTTCCACACCGGCGTCTATGTCGGCTGCAAGCCAGGTGAGCAGGGGCGGCCGCCGGGCCTGGGGCTACTCCCAGACGCTTGGCCAGCGGCGGTGGCTGCCATGCCGTCTCTTTCCCCTTCCCTCCACCAAGGGCTGCATGTGCTGCAGCAGGGGAGGACCTGGCAGCCAGGCCCCATGTCCTGTGGGGCATTCTGCATGCGGAAGGCTCAGTGATTGCAGCCCTGGGCCAGGACTGGATCTGGTTCATTCCTTGGCTCCCTGTAGGACCCAGCTTAAGTCACTGTCTTACCTCATCTCTCTAGGGCAGGGAAGCGTAGGCCCAGGGGCCAGATGCAGCCCTTGGCTTGCCTGGATCTGGCCCCTGAGGCTCAGGGCTTTCCCCCCAGTATTGGGGTGCTGGTGCTCCAGCCACCCCTTCCCCCTGCTGCCCCATTGCGGGGCTGGAGTCCACACAATTTCCTAGCCTGGGCCCCACTAGGCTTTGGTGTGCGGGGGGAGTGTCTTTCTCAGTCAGGGGCCTTGTCAGTGAGGGCTTGAGGGTTTTGTTTGCTTCTCATTTGTTTGTGGCCCCCAACTGATTTTTTTTCCCCCCATGTGGGTCAGCGGCCCCTGACCCAAAAAAGGTTCCCACCCTTGCCTCCGTTCCCCAAGTGCAAAGTGGGGGATAATGATCCTCCCTTTCTCCATCCCGCCCCCTCCTTCCCCCCCAGCTTGGCTAGTGAAACTGAGACTTGTAGGGCAGGGACAAGCGCTGTGTCTGTACAGCCCCTTGCACAGTGGGGCCCTGATCTTGGTCTGGCCCCAGTGGTTATCTGTGTTTAAACTCAGGTGCAGTCTGAATTCTGGAGCAAAACCTCGTGGCCTCTGCCAAGGACACAAGTAATTTGGGATGTTGCAGCCGTTGGGATGTGGAAGTCTGTGCTGCACTGTTGACTTTTGGGTCGGTCACTGTACACTGTACATGGCTGCCCCATGTATTGAATGCAGGCCGTGGGGTTGGGCGTTGACAGATTGTGAGTAGGTTTAAGGGTTCGGCTCAGTGGGTGCCTCCTTGTCTCACTGAGGTTTCAGGCTGTCTGGCTGCAGCCTCAGGTAGCTGTCTGTCTTTGGAACCCGCTCTCCGCTCCTGTTTTCAGGGGGGCTCTGCCTTCCGTGGGCAGCCGGGGTCTCTTCACAAGGCCAAGGGACTGGAGTAGGTCTGGCTGTAGTCAGCAGAGGGCAGCACTGTATACCCACAGAGGCGGGCATTATTAACTCTCCAGGGTCCACGCTGGCACCACGCTGCCTGCCCTGTTACTGTGCGTTTCTTGCTGCCCACAGGGGCCGACGTCAGTGCCGGCGCCACGGCTGTCGGCGACACGGAGGTTTTCCAGCTGCTGATAAATGAGGCCACCAAGGAGACCTGTTTTCGCAGCTGCTCCGGCAACTACATCGGTGTGGTGAGTACAGCCAGAGCCAAGGGGTTGGCACAGCTCGAGCGATGGGAGGAGACGGCTAGAACCGTTGGCTGTGGCCGGCTGCTGGGGTGCTGCTCTGAGCGCTATCACTCATGGATGCAGACAACGGCCAGCCTAGGGCAAGGTGGCCCCTGGTTCTCCCCTGCCCTGCTAGCCAATCCCAGCCACTAGACTGTTCCCCGTTCTAGGAGTGCCCCACTGACACGGTGCCAGCTCGTGAAAGTGATAAACCCCCTTGTTCGAAACCCTCCTGCCTAGGCCCCTGAGCCTCAGTTCCTGTGTTCAGCTAGTGCCCTCTTTAGCCTTGTCCCAGAGCCATGTTCTCCCCCTCTCCTAGCAGGGACTGGGGGAGGAGGGATGTAGCCCCAAACACCGGACCTAGGCAGAGATTTCTCCCCTCCCCACCCCAGGAACAGCAGCAGCTCCTGGCCCCCACAAAGGGGGAGTGCCAGGGTTCAGCATCCATCCCCACCCCTCATGTTGCCTCCTTGCAGGACTCCAGCGACATTCTGGTGAGCACCAGTGCCCAGGACAAGAGCGTCTGGTTCTCACTCCAGTACCAGGCGCAGAGGGCGACGCTGCGCTCAGCTGAGAACAGATATGTGACCATCAGGCCCAACCAGCGTATGATGGTGTATCCTGATCTGCCAGGTAGGGTGGGGAACGGCTGCTCCCCTGGCCAAGGAGTGGGGTTGGCAATTGAATGCAAGCCCTGCACATCCCACCCAGCCCTGTAGCAATGCTGACACATCCCTCCTGTGCAGTGGCTAGTCAGGGCTCATGTGCGAGCCAGGGCATCTCGGCCCAGTTCCCTGGCACTAACTGGCCCCCCTGGTCTGGCTTTGGAGCAGGGCCCTGAGGTGGGAGGCAGGGCAGAGGGAGCCCAGCACAGAAGCCAGGCCTTTCAGGGGCTTGCTTTCCAGCCACCATTGTGGTGATGGACACACTGCAGTGTTGACCTCCCTGCTCAATTCCCTGCCCTGGAAAGGTGGGTGGGGCAGAGGGGCTCCAGGGCCCTGCTCTCCAGGGGGAACAGGCCCGGGCCTGTTCATATACTGAAGGGAGGGTTCTCAGTCTTGCTTGACCAAGGTTTGGCCCTTTCGGCCTCCGCTCAGGGCCTGCAGCCTCCACCCCTTGCCCTGTGTGGGGCCAGCTAGGGCTAATGCTGCATGCGGGATCTGTGCCCTCAGGCAAGGTAACGGAATTCCTGCTCATGCTGGTGAACCGGCCGTTGGTGATCCTGCAGAGTGAGTTCGGCTTCGTGGGGCTGTGCCCTGGGACACAGCGTCTGGATGGAAACCGCCCGGACTATGATGCCAGCGTCATGATGATCACTGAGGATGGCCACTACCGCTTCAGAATTGGTGCGGGCATGGGGTCCCTGCCAGGGGCTGGGCTGTGGAGATGCCAAAGGACTGAGGATCCTAGGGGCTGAGGGGTACTGGGGAGGATGCTGGGGTCCCTAGCAGGGCTGGAGTGTGGGAGGACAGGGGATGGGGGCGCTAAGGGCTTCTTGCCAGCAGGGCAGGGTGTCCCCATTTTGGAAGGGGTTGTGTTCAGGATAACCCTGCCAGGGCTGAAAACACCCTTTCCCCCATTAGTGGGGGGACAGACAAATGAACACAGCCAAAGACCTCAGATCCTCCCCTTGCTATCTGGAGAGCACTTCAGAGGAACGGGGGGAGGGGGGGGAAATACCCCCTTGCTGCTCCTGTAATCCTCCATCTTGACTCTAGCACAGCTCTGGCATGCACCTCCTGCTTCCGTAATACCCTGTGGCAGTACCTCCCCAGGTTCACAAGCACCCAAGTGTGCCTCTTCATGCTGGGTCCCCCCTGCCATGCCTCCTCCTCTGCCCTGATCCATAAATCACAAGGCCCTAACTGCCCCCTGCAACCCACAGAGAACAAGAACTGGACCATGGACAAGGATGGGCTGATCATGTTGACAGGCGAGCGCGGCAGTGACTTCATCATCCAGTTTGCCTCTTCCAGCTGCCTTGTGATGAAGGCTCCCAACAACAAGTATCTGGTGGCAGAGGCGGGGGGCCGCCTGTGGGCAGGGGCTGTAGATGTAGCGTCTGCCACTCCCTTCCGCTACTGAGGGACTGTAACCCCTGAAATAAACTCCTGTGCTGACTCGGAGCGCCTGACTGTTGCCAGGACCTGCACCCCTACCCTCCCTGTACCCCACTGCTGCCTATGCAGCAGGTCAGGGCAATTAGGGTAGGGCTTGAGCTGCCACCAGCTGGGGAGTGAGAGACGGTGGTGAGCTGAGGAGGCTTCTCCCAGCTAGACCAGTGCCTGTGCTTTGAAGGGGTGCCTGCCAGGCTGGCTGCTAGTGGTCTGGGGAGAATCCTGAGTCTAAGGAGAGAGCAGCTGCCGTAGCAGAAAAATAAATATTTATTGGAAAATAGTACTGATTTGAAGGATGGGGTAGGAGGACAAAAGTGCCAAGAGTCACTGCTACAGCAAATAACACTGAGTCTGAGGAGTGGGTGCAAGCACCTCCCACTCAATTACTGCACACATGATACGGAAGGAGGTGGGGGTGGTGAGGTCTGCCCTGTCACACCCTGCTGACATAGGACACAACAGGTGTAGGCATGATCTGTGGGGGTGTGGCTCAAACAAGCTTTAACCCCCATCCAGCAGGGCTGGAACAGGATCCAGGACAGCTTCTGACAGCCTCCCTTCTGTCCCCCTCGGCATGGCCCCAGATAGGGGTGGTGCCTGGGCACAAGGAATGGCTGCTTCACATGGTACCAGGTCTGGGAAGTGAATTAAAGTCTCTTTCCAAGCCGCTGGGCACCCCGGCGGCGGCCCCCTGCCTGGCCGGGGCTGATGCAGAATGAGGCTGCAGCTGGATCTAACGCCAAAGGACTGAGAGGCTGCCATCAGACCAGCCATGTAGGGAGCGAATGTGTGGCCTCCGGCCCCAGGCTGTGTGTAGCCTTGTCTGGCCTGGAACAAGCCTCAGTACGAGTCCACCCTAGAGGGAGATAAACAGCAATGAGCCTGGCCATCACTAGCAAACCTGCGGTAGCTTCCAACCTCACCCTGAACTGGGCTCTGGCTAAGGGGAGCTTCCCTCACAACCCTGGGCAGTCCTGTCACCCCACTGGCTTCTCTCTCTCAAGAATCTGTCCTCATCCTGGGGAGAGGCAGCCCATCAGAGGAGAGGCATGCAGGTGAGGAAACAAGCAGGGGCAATCGGGAATGGCACCCAGAAGTCCTGATCTCTAGGCACATACAGGAACTGCCTGTCTTGGGTGTCAGCACCATTTTCTCTCCCCACTTTGCCCATCCCCTATTTATGCCCGCTCCAGCCCCAGAGCTTGTTTTCACCCTGAGATCCAGTCTCCCTCCCAGCCAGTTTGTGCACTCCAGCCCCTCTCTCTGCCACTCAATCTTCCACTGCCTCCCAAGGCAGGAGGCAGCAGGGGAGGGGTACCTGGAGAAGGAGGCCAGGGTGAGGATGCCCAGGAGCAGTTCGACGGCATAGAAGAGCAGCAGGATGGCGTTGAGGATGGCCTCCAGCCGCAGGGCGTAGGTCTGCAGCAGCAGGTAATAGGCTGCCATCACCGCTGCCGGGAATGTCAAGGCCAGGCTGATGGAGAGCGGCACCTTCCGCTGGCACAAGTTCCCTTTGGAGCCTGCCACATGGCACAGTGTGTGAGGCAACCGCTCCCCACCCTGCAGGCATCCATGCATGCAGAGTGCTGGGGAATGGTTTACACAGCCCTCTCCCCTTTAGGGAACAGGCTCCAATTCAACCCCAGGCAGGGGGCTGGGAATGGGACAAGGGCATTTCCTTTCCAGGGATCTGGCTCCAATCTGGTCTGGGCGAGGGGGCTGGCTGGCTCAGGCAAAGAGCTCTCCAGTTCTAGGCACTGATCCATCTCCAAGTTGTGAACAAAAGGGAGTTGTACTGACTGCTTGGCAGTCCACTGAACTCAGGGTACCAGCCTGGGCAACTTGCCTTGCTGTTCCAGAGCTGGCCATTAGTCCTAGGCACTCACCAAAAAATATCCGGGTGACTTCAATGCCGAGATAGAGGAAGAGCATGACCAGATCCAGGGCTAGGTTGGCAGAGGGGTATGGTAACAGCAGCCCTAAGGACACAAAAGTCACCTGTTTCAGGAGGAGCACAAGACCCTCAAACTTTCCCGCAAGTCTCATGGACAGCCCTAGAGAGGTCCAGCAAGGACACAGACAGGCTCATCTAAAGGTCCCAGTCCTTGCCCAGTAAAATGTTAATGACTTCTTTTTACACCTCCTTGTACTAGGGTTGTTAAATATTTGTTAACCAAATAGTCGATTAACCTCATGAGTTCCTATCGGTTAGTCAACTATTCTATAGTCCCCAGGCTGGGGCTGGCAGCCAGTGCACTCTGGCCCCACTCCCGAGGAGCCCCCTGCTACCACACGCTGCTGTGTCTCTATCAGAGGCAGCAGCATAGGTTGCCAGGTGGGAACTGCCTGCCACGTTGTACTGCTGCCTCTGATACAGAACTGAGCCGGGCTGCCTGGCATCTAATACGTTTTAAATGCAGAGCCAGAAGGGGGTAGGTCCCGGACCCAGTGCAAGCCAGGACTGAGCCAGGCTGCTGGCCAGCCTGCTAAAACATTTACTGGCAAGGGGCAGAAAATGCATGTAGTCTGTAGTATTAACCTATAAGCTTTTGCTTATTGGTTAATTTACTGTACTATTACAACCCTACCCTGCATCAGATGCAGCCCTGCGAGGGAGTGGGGCTGGCCAAAGCGTTTAAGTCAAATGACACTCCCCTGGGCTTGTCCTGGGATACCTGATGCCACAGCCCAGACAGCAGCCCCTGCTGCTAAAGGCAGTTCCATGGCCCTGGTGATCTGAGATGGAGGCTGGAATGGCAGCCGAGGGAACTCACCTTTATAGACAAATATGAAGATCTCCAGGAGGAAGTAAGTGGCGTAATACCACCCATTAAGGAAGAGCAGGATTTCCAGCGGGGTGGAGGAGAGCTGACGGCCTGGGGGATGAACAGCATGAGTGGGCAAGGTGCCACTCCCCAGACAAGTCTGCTGGCCTCAGTCTTCTCCCAAAATGGGCAGAGGAAGCCAGAAGACCCTGAACTGCGCTAACGCCAAAGGTGAAAGTGAGTGAGTGTCGCCCCAGTGCCCTTGGAGCAGCCCAGCCCCCAGCTCCCCCATCTCCTGCCCTGAGCCCTCCCACTCCTTGGCCTGACCCCTGCGCTGGCTCCGTGCATGGGGTGGGGCAAGGGGAGGCAGGTGCCCCCCCCCATGGTGCCGGGGTTGGGACACATGCGCCCCTCCCCCCCCAGGAAAGGTCAAAGGCCACCC